CTCGTTTTTCGTTTTTCTGAATTGGCAGAGGTCAATCCCCGGTGTCCCACAAAACTTGTTATGTTTTATTGTTTCACGCTTTTCTGGAGCAGAAAAACTTATTGTGGAACAGTCGACTGCTTCTGTTATTCTATTTATTTAAAGCATTTCACTCTGCCACTTGTTGTTTGCCTATTTATTTATTTGTACGCGTCACAATAATAACTTGAGTTCACTGAGTGGAACAACTTAGTCGAGTGGTCTTGGCAACGTCGGAGACATTTGTCCAATCACAAACTCCAAACCGCTTGGGAGGTAAACTGATTTTGGCTTAACCTAGTTTCGCAGACTTTCTGGCAAAAAAAATTCAACTTCAGCGCAGCAATATTTCAGGTGGAACACTAAGCAAACCCCCATTAAAAAGTTCTTTTTCAAGGAAAATGAGTAGAAATCGCGAAGCAAAGTTATTTAACTAGTTTCAGAATTGTTTCAATGCACTTGAGTTTTTGCATTTAAAAACTGTGAGAATTTAAAAACCAAACTTACAAGTGAATGGCGTAAATATAAAAAATATGACGTTGAAACAAATCTGTACCATGCAAAAACATAAATTATTAATTAATACAAAGTTTAAAAGGATTGTTAACTTGCTTCATACTTTTTAAATAGTTTTTACGTAGCACAGGTAATTCTGTTCTCTGTGCACTTGCCAAATAATTTCAAGTCCAAACGATTTCGATTGCTTTTTGTTTATGGCAAGCGGCTCTTGATGGAATTAGGTCAAGTTTATAACGCGCACGCATTTAATGACTCATTTAAATGATTCATTTTCATTAAAAGTATGCATTGCCGAATAAAATTGAAGTTTAATGACTACACAAAATTGATAGAACAGAAATGCAATACAATTAAATGACATGCTTTTCGTTTGTTCTGTATTTATTTTCTTGCAAATAAACTGGCAGACTTTAATTATTATTAAAGTGAAAATATGATAAAATTAAGCTTCCGAACATATACCTATGTATCTGCTTTAAATGTTAAAGTTTATCTTGAAAAACTGACTTAAACGTACTGACTCTTAATGCCTTCAATGAAAACGAAAGCCAGTGCTTAATATGGAATGAGCTTTGTTTACTTACACGAATCCGGGGAATCTCTCCTCGAAAGGATTTATGTCAACATAGTATACGGTTCAAGCCAAGGACGCTATTTTTTCCCAGAGACGCCATTAAACTGAGCGTGGATGTGGATGCAAGGACCTGTGGGCGGAACAAGGAATGAGGAATGTTGCGTCATTTCTCAGGACTGACAACATGGACGTTAACGCTTTAATGCCTGTCAGTGGCAGTCGCAGTCGCAGAGTTCCTTAATCGCTTAAGCGGTTGACGCTGGAGGCGAATTTCCCGGCAACCCTTTGGGCCGACACGAAATGTGGGCCAACAGGAATTAGCCCGATTGCCAAAATGACTTCCATTCTTGTTTATTACCAAACAGTTTGCATTTTTTGACTGAAAGCGAAAGCATCCGAGCATCCGTCCTTTGGGTCCATGTGTCCACGGTGGCATCCATTCTTCCCCCAGCTGCTTTGCATTTTTTCCGCATTTTCCTTTTTTTTTTCCCACTTAGTTTTCTTGTTCTGCTTTTTCCTCGCTGGCTAGTTGGTAGTTTATTTGGCCCGTTTTTCGGTGGGCGTAGAATAATGTAATACAATGCGGATCAGCACGCTTGACTTGCTCAACTTGTGCTGTGTGTGTGCTTTTGACACTTTGTTGCTCCGGCTTTTCCGCTTTTCCCCAACTTCCGTTTCCATTTCTTGGGGTCTTGGTTTGTTAATCCGCTTTGATGCCCATCTGTGAGATACAAACATATAGAGCTTGTGCGTCTGGCCCGATGACCTCCTGTCAGCCGCTGATGAACCGATATCAGTCAGCTGGGCGGTCGAAAGTTTTGTTTTTTTCTGCGTTTTCTGCGCGTGCCACATCACTGATTGCCGCTTGGGATTGTGACCGGGGCACATAAAAACGATTGATATCAATATCGGGCAATAGAGAGCAGCACGTGACATGTGATGTCCTGTCATTAGGTCCTTCTTAGTTGCTGACCAGTAGGAGTTTTATGGCCATTGCTTTTTGCCGCTTCGAGCATCTTGTAATTGAGGTCGTGTCATAAAATTCCCGGCCACTTGCAATTTGATGACCTCTGACCATCCCTAATAAATGTTCCCTTCAAAATGTAACTCGCTTTTATTCGCTATGCACTTATTTACCTTTAACGTTTTGCTTTGTTCTTTTTTTTTGTCTGCAAAGTTATATCCTTTCAACTTTTCAGCTGATACCGCCAAAGAGTTGGAAACTCCGCGGGTGGGACCATTGTATCCCTTTGAACCATTAAATGTAAGCATTTAATTCGGTTGTATTGCCCTGGGCGTAGAACAAGCTTTATATGCAATTGTTGCCAAATACCAGCGGCGCTGTAAAAAATCGTATTTTATTGTGGCAATTGAATTGCGAATGGGCGTGGAATTGAGTAATGAAAGGCACAGTGCGGGGCAGAGCTTCAAATAAAAATCCCGACAAGCGGGAACAATCACAATTGGGTCCCCAATCTCGGCGGTGGCACTGTCAACAATTATTATTCTGATACGTTTTTTACGGCACCCAACGCTTTACCATTTTTGTCAGGGAATTTATGCCTTGAAAGAAAGAATGGCTTGCTAAATGCTTAATTTTCGGTAGCTTGGCAAACACCCAACCCCACAAATGGCCAATTAATCAAAGATGGGGCCATAAATCAGGCAAATGTCGTTGGAAAGAGGTCCTAACTTGACACCTAGAGAAAACATCTTGGTAAACACTCAACTGGGAGTAGTTGAACGGTAAACAACAAAGATAATATTATTTTATGCCATAAATCATTCATTTTTCCCATAAACTAAAATGGGAAGAAAAATATTATTTTAGGAAGTAAATCATTCTTAAGTTTGACTACTGCTTAAAATTAAATTGAAAGCGTTTTGGATAAATTTAAGAACATCTTTTATTGCTTTAAGATCCTTTTTAACATACCCTTAGCATAAAAAAAATATGATGTGCTACAAACAACCCAAAGTTTTTTCCTTGCTTTTAATATTTTATTAGCTGTTTTTATATTCCAGATTAATTACTCTTTTTTTTTTATTAAAACTATAATGTTTCCTTCCGTGAATTTTGCCAGGAGGCAACCACGACTTATTTGCTCTGTCTGTCTATTGCCAGCTGGCGCCTGGGAAGTTTTTTGCTCAGCACTTTCTGCTGTGTTGTTCACTGGGGGTTAAAGGTCAACGGGTTAGGCTTTTTGTCCCACGCTGATAAGCCGGCCAGAAGTTTCGCTGCACCTGCCCAGGATGCCTGTCAACTGGCATCTGACATCTGTTCGCCGGCCACTTGCGACAGGGAGCGGGTTCATCGAATTAAGATCTTAATTGCGGCAATAAATTCGTGCAAATTCTACGCTGCCTTCAGCTGGGCAAAGTTCCCACAATTTGTGTAAAAATGTCGTAATTGGCGTAATTAGCCAGTGTTTTGCAAATCCCTTTCTCGTCAGTTTATCTCGGTCTCTTTCCGCGCTTCTGTTTGAGTTTTCCCATTATGCTATTGGGCGTTTTGTTATGCAAATTGTCCGATTCACCGCCTTTGTTTGCCTTTCGCACTTGTCGCACTCAACTTGACCTATAAACGCCACATGCTGGCCAGCTGTCGTGGAAAAACTGTGACAAATTGTCGACGGTTCACGCAACTTCTTTGTCACTTCCGCTTCCGCTTTTCGCTCTTCGCTTTCCCCTTTCTCCATTTCTTCATTTCTTCATTTTTTGTTGCCATTTCCCATTCATGTACCATTCATTCACCTGGCATTCACATCGGCCGACTAATCATGATTAATTTGCATCAATTTGAGTTCGGGCTATTTTTAGTCGGGCGGCACCCGCTGCATACAAAATTGCCTTAATCGTTTCGAGTAGAGGTCTTTTATTACCTCACGGGAATGCCAGCGCGGCTTTATCGGATTTCGTCACCAAAATGTGACACTCAGGTTGTCGAAAATTAATATATATGTATCGGATACAGATAACATTCGCGATTTCTTTGCTGTTGAACTTTGAACTCCATTCAACCAAAAATGTTTGATTGAAAGGGGGGAATTTGATAGTCGGTGATATATGAATACCTTAATCAAATATTGTAATGTAAAACTTTTGCTTTTTTCTGACAGTCAAAAGTGTTTTTCTATTCATGTACCTTGTTCAAAATTCCGTTTTCTTTATTTAGTTTCAAGAAATTCAATTTGATGTCTATTTGTTTCTTTTTTTTAAGTAACCAGTAATATCCTTAAAGGTTCGTTATTAAATTTTCTATGTGAGCTTCTTTTTTCTTACGAATCAGACAGATAAAACAAAACACACTGCTTAGTTGAAAAACAAATGAAATTGAATTGATTTCCAGAAACTTTTCGATATGAAAGTAATTGTGTTGAATGCCAAATTTAAATTGTTTGTTTACGCTTTCAAGTGATAAACTCTGTGTACATATTGACAATGGCAGGACATTCAAACATCGATGTGGAAAAATACCAACGAGCTGTTTTTTCTAAATGACCACGAAAAGGGTTGTGGGATTCCCGTCATCTGGTGAAGGCAGACGAACAAACTTCAGACAACTTGAGAAACACGCCTGCTTTTGTATTTTCTTAGTCTGTGATAACAAGAAAATGTTTTCATTTCGGTGTCCTTCCAACAACTCAACAACAACAAGCAAAAAAAAAAAGGACACGCCGACTGGGATTACAAAACTATGTTTAATTGTGTATGCATGGGTCGACAGACCAAAACACAAACGTCCCACTGCATAATCGAGTGTGTTTTCATTAGAAAAAACCTTTTCGCTTTTGCCACACTCACCGATTCAGCAAATTCGGATCTTTTTGATGGGATTTCACTTCTCCAACTTGATTTATGAGTATTTTTTTTTTGCTTCTCTTTGCAGATAGCTTTAAGTGCTGGGCGACTGCCACTTTAACTGCCAGTAACGGATGTCCTGATTTTGCTTTGCCCACAGACCGACGCAGGAGCAGCCGTATACACAATTAGCCACAGTGGATGGGTCGTCGTAGATTGAAAAGGCTCCGAAAAGTTCCGACCCGCACACGGAAACCGCAAAGGCACTCGGCGAATTCTTCCTGGGGCGAGGACCCCGAAAAACACGCGTCAAGCAAACACAGCCCCAAATGTCCGACACAATATCCTTCGAGTTGGGCTCCGCCGCCGACCGGCCGCCGAACAGGTTCCAAGTGAACCCGGTGAACGGCAGCAGTCGCAAGTCACAGGCCCAGGACCTCCCAGGCTCGGGATCTGGAGTGGGAACAGGAACAGCAGGAGGAGGAGGAGGAGGAGGGAGAGGCGGAGGGGCAGGAGCGGAGGACGATGGACCGCACGAGGTATACCGCCGACTCACAAACGCCGAGGGCGAGCTGCTCGAGGACGACACATTTGATGCGACACAAATGCTCAACCAACACCAGCCGAGGCAGCAGAGGTGAGTTCAGGGAGGTCAGGGGTCAAATGCCAAGGGGAGCCAGCACTCGCAAAAAATGAGTGAAAGAAATCTTAAAACATTTTCCTAAAATTTGAGTGGAAAAATGATTTCATATATAATATTTTACGAAATGTGCAAGTGTTTTATCAGACAGCTTATTTGAATCAATAATTGTTATATGGTTTAATTGGGTTTTAGATAATACAATTTTTTTTTTTGGGTCACAATATAACCTTAAGAACTTGTAGATCAATACTTATTTCTATACTTTTCTGAGACTTGTGCAAAATACGTCATTGATAGGTAAATGAGCTTTTCTCAACAATACCTATATTAAAGACTTTGTAAACTGGTGCTTTCTCCATCAGATAATTAAATTCAAATGTTTTTTCAGCAGATGAAAGCCCAACCTTAAATTCAATTTAAGCAAATTTTCACGAATTCGAAAATTTTCACAAGTGCCTTCTGGGTTAAAACGGCTGCGGTTTCCAGGGTTCCGTCCTAGGCGACCTTTTCCTTTGTCTATTGTAGCAAGGAATGGAAATTTCTTGAATTTTTCATTTTCTGGTAATTGTTTAGTGTTTCATCAAACAAGGATTGCTTTTGTCGCCTCCTGTATTTTGTCCCTGCTTAATTATGGCGTTAACATTCCGCCCTTGTGCCATCCGCTCACAAAGGAGCCGGAATGCCCCGAAAAGCACCTCGAGAATTATCGCTACGGCAGGATGGGCTTCCGAATGAATTAGCCAGTTAGCGGGGGCCAACTTGAACATCGTTTAGAAGGAATATGGGCGAAATGCAGATGAGATTGATATGGGAACCCAATCAACTGGGTTGTTGAATGCCAAAATACCAGGCAGAACGAGATGCCAGTTAATCATTCACGGCACATTGGCTGCACTTGTAATTTTCAGTCCATCAGTTTGGAGTGCAATCATTCAAAAATGATTAAACTCGGGCGGATTCCACGGCCAGTGGAATAACCCACGCATCGGAAAAGTCGCTTTTATCGGAAAGGCAAAGTTTGCCGACCTGAGGCAGGTTCAATAGTCGACTGCAAAAGGTTGAGCGCAAACACAAAAACTCGCCTGGAGAAATCAAACAATGCCACCAATCACAGACCGTAGTAATAACCATCATTTACGCTTGTGTTCCCCATCGCCGGTGGACAGCCAATTTGCATAGTCCTGGCAATGTCGACAGGGAATTGACAAGGACATCTTTGTCTGTTCTACTGCCAACTATAAAATGTTCGCCTCGATATGTCGCCGTGGCCACAGTCCCACCCAAGTTATGATAATGAGGCTCATGAAAATATTATGGCTCCGTTTATTGGCCCCACATCCTGCAAAAACCAAGGCAACTGAATTTCGATTATGGGGAAAGCGGTTTCATATAAAAACGGCTTTTAATCGGCTCAAATAGGCAGCCATCGAGCAGCGAGTTCCTGCATAAATTAATGATAAGCTTACTCAAGGGCCTCCTTGAGTTTTAAGCGTCTGCCTTCGCCACTCCAAATTGATAATTAATTCCTGAATTTTCCTCGCCTCCCCACCTTCCCCGAGGGGCCCACAAATTAAATCAATCCCATTGACATACAATCGACTGGATCATCATTACGAGTGCGATTCACGTTCACGGCTGCCAAGCAATTCGAAAAGCCGAGCAGACAAGCCACCCATAAATTGCTTTGCTGACAACGGAGTATATATCATATAAATATCTTGAGGCCATTGCGTAAAGACGCTTGCTAAATTGAAAGGAGCAACCTGGATTTCAAATACGAATGCAGGATACCTTTTTATTCAGAGGTTCGGTATTCACAAATTTCCTACAATTCATTGTTAAACTTTTAATTTAAACTTCTTCCGTTTGCATCTGTTTAATCATGTGCAACTGCAATAAATATTTAGAAGCTCTAAAATTGCCATACATGATATTAATAAATTCCATTTTCAAATATGAACTTCACAAAAATTGCGTATGGGTCATTAGTTTTATGTTGCCTTTAAAAATGCTGCCTTTATTGCAGGAAATCATTTTACAACCATTTTATTTGTACATTTATTGGCAAAATTGAATATTATTGCGCTGTATTATCAATTGCTTTGAGTGAGTTTAAACAATGCTAGCTAAAATGTATGTATATCTCTATTCACAAGAATATTAAATTTTCTAAGAAATGTTTCTAACCTGTATCTAACTAGTTTTGCCATTGATAAAAAAATTATATAAAATTCGGTGTGCATTTGATGCCTCGGGAAACAAAGGTTCCTTTGTTTCCAGTCTTCTCCCGATTAGCGGGTGCAACCAGCAGGGTGTCAGGATGTCAGGCGCTCGCTCATGCAACACATTATCGGATAAGCGCGGGACTCGGGGTTGAATGTCCTGCGAGGCGCGTGGGCGTGTCCTGGGGCCGTCTGCTCCTCGGTCTGTTCCTCGGCAAACTGGCCGGAATCATCTGGGGCCACACAATCGACACACAATGGGCGGCAATCAGAAAGTGCAAGTTTTTGTTTGAGGGCTAGATCCAACTAAATCGAAAATGAATTCAATTCAATTTCGTTGAACTGAATTGGCCGATAATGAAAGTTATTGGCTGTGGATTTAAAATTGAATCTTGGCTCAGTGGGGGTGTCAAGTAGATTGGCCTTTTTTTTTTAATGTAATCCGAATCTTCTGTTCAACTCCCAATTAAAGTGGTAACCAGAGGCAACTGAGTGGGTGTCGATGTGGGCGATGTGACCTAAAAATAATGAGCATCCTAATAGCCTATTTTTGTTTATTTCCGCTTCGCAGGCAATCCATCAAAAGCAGTTTCCGCGACAAGGATAAGCCGTCGAGGTTCAAGGATCTGCAGACGACAACCCGCTTTCAGGTGGACCCCCAGAATGAGGAGTCCGACGAGTCGAACGACTCGCAGGAGGAGCGGGAGCTCCTGGACAACGAGTACGACACAAAATATGGTAAAAGTTTCCGGTCAGTTTGCATTGCTCCTACCCGTTTAACACTGAGAACAATAAGCAAAACATGCTATTTGATTTTTTCACAATAAATTTATAGAGCTATTAAATCTTATAAGAGAATATATGTACTCACGAATTCTTGATAAAAAAGCCTTTGATTTATAAAAAATATTGTATACTTATTATAATAGTTAACCTATTTAAAATTTTATGTAAAGTAAATTTAGCTTGAATTTTATTGTTTTAAAATTATTTATATATTTGTACACATTTCTTCATCTGGAATTATTTTTATCCAAAATTATATTTGTATAAATTAAGTTTTTATAAATTTTTTTTGGTAGAAAAGAAGAGATTGCAGGGAAGTGATTCCCATATTCGCTTAATTGCTTGTTTCTTGATGAAAATTAGTTGCTTATTAAAGAAAAATATTTGTGATATTTTTCTCTGTGTACTCCCCCATTTTCTGGTGAACCTGTCAAATGAAACGCCACTCTCAACCGCAGGCACTTCACTCGAGAGGCACTACCTCGCTTGGACAACTACCGCAACATGATGTCCATCCAGGCGGCCTACCGTCCAACGCTCGACGAGCTGCACAACGCGACGCTGACGGGCAAGGTGAGTTCAATTTGGCTGCTCCTCCGGATAGGGTCAACTAAATGAATATTAACACCAGGGTCGTAAACGAACCGCAGGACCCCCCAAGGGCCACAAATTACAATTCCGATGGTCCCATAAAATAAAAAATACGCATGCTGAACGATTTGCAGGCGCGGCCGCAGTCGCAGTCGCAGTAAAAGTCAAATGTAAATTTATACTTATACGCCAGCCACGAAAATTTGGAAAAATTCAATACCGTTAACCCGCGAAATGACCCAAAAAACCCGGCAGTCAGTCAGTTCTGGCGGTGTGAATGTCACCCCGGCTCGTGCGAAAAGCCATTTTCCATTTTCTTCGCAGGCACATGAGCGTGACTGCAAATGCCATCGGGAGTCGGGAGTCAGGAGCCGGGAGTCAAATTGGCCGGTCGTTGGCACTGCAGGCTGGGGAAATCCCTGGGAAATTGCTTGTCAGATGCAATTCTGCGGTTGGGGACGCACACTCTTTTCTAAATTTATTCCCCAAAATGGGACAACTTCGGCAGACTTAAGCGATTAAATTGGACTACGCCGCCGTTAAATCTGACAAGTCCATTGGCTTTTCATTTGACTTCTAAGCTCTGGCGCTCTGAAAAGTTATCATTTTACTTCGAGTAAAGACACCAATTGGCACTAATTGATTTCCACACTTTTCAGACTAATTGTTGATGTTTTCGTTTCACAATTGGCTGAGCAAATGACTGTCAATATGGGAAAATAAATTGCCATGGGCTGCAGTTGAAGGTCCATCGAGAGCAAACGATGCGTTGCACAATGACATATAGTATAAGAGTTTTTGTCCATGAGGCAATCCATTTTGCTGGAAACGAGATGAAATGACGTCCGAAACTTGGTGGCTAATTAAGAATAACTATGATGAGAGCTCTCCTTCTCTCAATGTCACTCGAACATCTTACAATAATAAGCAATTAAGAGGGGGTCTCGTTAAAAGCGCAAAGTTCACGGGTTCAATTGGCTCAACGGGTGTTGCGTCCTCGGGGGCGTATGATTAATCTATTAATAAGGTCTTGACTGCGGGAATGCGCCGGCTTGCCGGAATTTCTCGTGGTCTGCTGAAGTCATCTATTTTCGGCGGCATTTTTCTTTCTTTCATTTGACAAAGGAAAAGGCCCTTTAAACTTCCATGTCGCCTCCTGACTCACGATTAACAAAGAAAACATAGATATTAACCCCACCTGCCGCTTCAGGTTGCTCGCCGAATCATTTATCAACACTAGACAGCTTTATTGAAATTTTCTCTTCCACCCTCTACCCTTTGTATTATACGCCTACTTTTACACTGGAAAAAACAGTATCTATACCAGTATATTATTTTATATTTTTTTAATTATTTTCATTAATTATTATCCTTTATTGAAAAAAATATTTGAATAAATATTAATTTAAAACATAAATGTATTATTAATTTTAATGATGAATTATTAAATATTAAATTCAATTATTCCAAAAACAAGGTTCATACCAAAGAGTCCATTTATTTTTTTAATCTTTTAGATAAATTTCTAACCTACACATATACAAAACTGTGCTAAAATATATAGAGGTCATTATTTTTTAAAGTGTAATATCACAATGTTGAGACACATTTTTGCTTGTGTAAACACCCACAGAACACGCACAGCTTGACGCGTAATCAGGACCCGGAGTCGGGCATCATGAACGGGGTCCTGAAGTTCGGCTGGATCAAAGGTGTGCTCGTCCGCTGCCTGCTGAACATCTGGGGCGTGATGCTCTTCCTGCGCCTCAGCTGGGTGGTGGGTCAGGCGGGCATCATCGAGGGATTCGTATTAATACTGACAACCACGGCTGTCACGACCATCACGGCCTTGTCGATGTCGGCGATAAGCACTAATGGTGTCATCAAAGGAGGTACGTCCACAACTCCATCTCCATCCCCATCCCCATGTGGTCGCTTTTAAATGGCTCTAAGTGGTTTTGACACACTCGTCTAGGTGGCACCTACTACATGATATCCCGGTCTCTGGGGCCGGAGTTTGGCGGCTCCATTGGTTTGATTTTCTCCCTCGCAAATGCGGTCGCGTGTGCCATGTACGTGGTTGGCTTCTGTGAATCCATGTTGGCCATGATGACGACCTTCGGCTGGGAAATCGTGGATGGAGGAGTGCAGGACGTACGAATCATAGGTTGTATCACCATCCTGCTGCTCCTAATCATTGTGGTCGTCGGCATGGAATGGGAGGCCAAGGTGCGTATACGTAATGTGCGGCCCTAGTATCAGTTATGAACTTAATGTCCTTTCCCCTTCCTAATTACCCAGGCGCAAATCGGACTACTCATCATCCTGCTGGTGGCCATCGCTGACTTTGTCATCGGCAGCTTTATCGGACCAAAAAGCGATGTGGAACTGGCCAAGGGCTTCCTGGGCTATAATGGTGAGCCAGCCAGCTCAAATTGAATTTTTTTCGTTAAATTAATTTTCCCTTCCACAGCCACGTTGTTCAAAAATAATTTATTTGCGGACTATCGCCAGGAAAAGGGAGGCATTCAGCATGATTTCTTCTCAGTATTTGCCATTTTCTTCCCCGCGGCAACGGGAATTTTGGCGGGAGCTAATATCTCTGGAGATCTAAAGGTAAACCTAATAAACAAGGTCGAAAAAGTTATAAATCGAATAGAGTTATATTGTTATGAACTTTTCTTGTTTTAAACATAGATCAACTGTATAAGACCTAAAAAACAGAAAAGCTATGATTTCATATGCTAATTCATTTATTAATAATTCTATTAATTTCTTTACTAGTTTTTATAACCTTTGTAAAAATTCAGTCGTTTATCATTGTGTTTTGTTTATTTTAAACACCTTGCACAAATTCACACATTATTAGGACCCCTCAAAGTCCATTCCTAAGGGCACAATTCTGGCCATTGTCATCACCACCGGAACCTACTTGATAATGGTCCTGCAATGCGGAGCTACAGTGGCTCGTGATGCCACCGGTAATGTCTCCGATATAGTTAATGGCTCCTTTGCATTCCTCGACTGCCAGCCTGGTAATTATATTCTGCAAAGCCTATTAATTTAAATTATTAATTAAGCATGGCTTGTTCCCCAGGTGAATGCAATTATGGACTGCAGAACTCCTTCCAAGTGATTGAGTTGGTTTCCGGCTTTGGTCCTCTCATTTACGCAGGCTGCTACGCCGCCACTCTCTCCTCCGCATTGGCTTCATTGGTTTCCGCCCCGAAGGTCTTCCAGGTAGGACAATGAGCACACAGTATTGAAATTGGATTAACTTACATTTACGTACATTGCAGGCTCTGTGCAAGGATGAGCTGTATCCGAAGATTGTGTGGTTCGCCAAGGGTTTCGGCAAGAACAATGAGCCTGTCCGTGGATATGTGCTAACCTTCATCATCGCCTGCGCGTAAGTAAAGCCTTTTAACAATAGAAGTTGTTAGAAAAAGAGAGCTAATTAACGCAACAATTAAATTTGTATAACAGCTTTTGAAATTGTAATAGTGAAATTCCTAAAACAATAAATTCTATTTAATCAATTTAACTGGCTTACCTTTATTGATACTTGCATTTTTATAGCATAAAAAATTTTTATAGCATAAAAAATTTTTATTAATTTACTTTATTTATTAAAACCCATATTAAAATTTTTTATAAAAATTAGCCTATTTTTTTTAAATTTTATATTATATTGAATCAGATTACAAATAGTTTAATTACTTTCATTTAAATAACCAAGAGCAGCAAATTCAACCTTTTGTATTACCTAAAATGCTTTCATATTTTTTGTTGCTTTCAAAATCAATAATCCATATTATTAAACGTTGACAAAGAAGGTAACTTAATAACCTTAACTTGATTTTAGATTCATATTAATTGGCGAGCTGAACCTGATTGCCCCGCTCATTTCGAACTTTTTCCTGGCCGCCTACATGTTGATCAACTTCAGTACCTTCCATGCGAGTCTGGCCAAGCCGGTGGGCTGGCGACCGACCTTTAAGGTGAGAAAACAACTATATTTTTATTGTTAAGCTTAAGGTTAAGACTATTTAACATGGGAACAACCTTTCTTGCAGTATTACAACATGTGGCTGAGTCTGTTGGGCGCCATCCTCTGCGTGGCCGTCATGTTCCTCATCTCGTGGGCCACGGCACTCATCACGTTTGCCGCCGTGCTGGCTCTGTACTTAATTGTGGCCTACCGGAAGCCGGATGTCAACTGGGGCTCCACCACCCAGGCTCAGACGTACAAGAACGCCTTGATGTCGGTGCAGCAGCTGAACAATGTGGAGGAGCACGTGAAGAACTACAGGCCGCAGATCCTGGTTCTTTCCGGTTTGCCAAACACTCGACCTGTTCTTGTTGACCTGGCCTATATGCTCACCAAGAATTTATCCCTGCTCGTTTGTGGTCATGTCCTTCGGGGATCGAGTTCCCAGAAGTATAGAACGTATCTGCAGGAAAGGGCGGCCAATTGGTTCCGGAAGCACCGAGTTAAGGGCTTCTATGCCTTGGTGGATGGCGAGGACTTCGAATCGGGCACCAGGGCCTTGATGCAGGCCTCGGGAATTGGCAAACTAAAGCCAAACATTATCCTGATGGGCTACAAGACTGACTGGCAGACCTGCGATCACAAGGAGCTCGATCAGTACTTCAATGTGATGCACAAGGCGCTGGACATGTATCTTTCGGTGGCTATCTTGAGGGTTCCCCAGGGTCTGGACTGTTCGCAAGTGTTGGGCTCCCAGGATGGTTGGAAGACGGCCACCGATGTTCCCAGGACCCTTCAGCCGAACGAGAGTTCCGGCGATTTGCAGGCCGTGGACAGCAGTGCCCGAAATGGTTTGGGTGGCAGCATCGACTCCCTGAGCCGAAATGTGTCGCAAGGTGAGGAACAGGAATCCGATTAGAAGTCGTGGAACTGCCTTTATAACCAAATCTTAATTCTGATTATATTCCGCATGTCTCTGTCTCTATACCCCTAAAACCGCACCTGTCTAACCACCCACCCAATTGCACCTTCTGCACCACAATTGCAATCACGTAGAGGACCGAAACCGCAACCAGTTGGTCCACAGCGAGCAGAACAGCCTGAAGATAGTCAAATGTGAGTAGCATGCTCGGCGTAATGGTAAAGGTCAGCATTAGGGTGGACCTGCTTTCAGTATAATTTAAAAGCTCCAAACGAAAAGTTTTTTATTTATTTAAAAACCAATATATAACAAGTATTTCGTATAATGGAAACTATTATAAATATTATCAGGTCATAGTATAATTAGGAGCATTTCAGCACACAAATTACTCATACGCCACAGTGGCTTACCAAAAATGTTTCATTTAAAAATGAAACTATGTAAAATGTTAAGCTTTAATTTTACTGAACACAAAGAGGTCCACCCTAAGTTATTGTCACATACCGTGAGCTAAACCAAACCAAATATTCTCGGTAATTATATCAATATCTCGTGTCTCCCGGGAAAATCAAACCGCAGTGCGATTCAGGCAGAGCCTGCGGAGAATGCGATCTTGGCCAGGTGCAGGTGAAGTTGTGTTTTAGCTAAGCTAAGATTGCGTGTCTTAGAGTACTTGAATGGAATGTGAAGTTGTTGTAGGCTGCGTAGGTAAATACTGAATACTGAATACGAATGGGCTGCGAACGAAAGCCGGTCACAATTTTTACTACCACGCATGTCAGCTGCTGCATGTTGCGCTGTTCCGCAATTAAGCCGTAAACTTTCCAGCAAATTAACGTCATTTAACAGTCAAACTAACCTCAATCCGTGGCCCAATTGGAGGTCCTGGCCACAACAAATGGTCTTTTAGGTCCTTCGAACCCGAACCCAAGCCAAAACCCGTCGGCGGTTCGACATCTGGGCGGCTAGAAAACCTTTTTCCGGCAATATGCGGCCCTCAAATTAATGCAATGCTCGCAAATTTGAATTTTAAATGATATTCATACAACGTTCGGGTGGCAAGGCGGCTGCCTTGGAAATTTAGACTGCCCCACATGGTAAAAAGCACGTGGCCCGAGGGGTTTGCTGTTTGTTGGTTTGTTTTTAATGCGTATAGTCGGGGAAATGGAAAATGCGAAATGGAAAATGTTGGGCTGCTGCACTGCTTGTTGTCTGTGCATGTCCGGAATGAAATGATGTCGCAGTAGCTTTCCGCTTTGCCTTGTTTGCTATTTTCTCTGAAATTGTGTATATTTGACTTCCCAATTTAGCGTCCAGTACGAGTGACCTTTCGTTCATTGCGGGCAATCAGTCGAAGGATGTTTCCGGCATGCCAGATCCTTTGGACGCCAAGTCGGCCAATCTTGTGGTAATTGTGAATTGCATTTAATTAGCGCGGCAGATGATTACCGATTTTCCATATTGCAGACCAATTCGCTGCGCAAATCGAAGCTGAAGCATGATGACCCGGCCTCCCTGTACAAAGGTCCTGGCGGCGCGGAGCTGCCCAAAGAGGTCCTGGCGGACCTTACCCAATTCACTAGGAAGCGCAGCCACGCCGTCATCGATGTCTGGTGGCTTTACGACGATGGTGGCCTCACACTCCTGCTGCCCTACATCATCAGCACCCGACGCACCTGGCAATCCTGCAAATTGAGGTGAGCACATCGCGAATTACCGCGCCATTTTTGCTTTATCTGCTTTATCGATGGCCTTCTGGCTGACGAGGAACTTACGGTAAACCATTGCCACGAGGGAATTTTTCAGCCATGTGGTCGTCCTTTGAGAGCAGATCTGCTGATTGCCAAGGTCACAGGTGCTCAAGGGAAATTTTTGCATTTATTTCCCTTAAATTCTGTCAATTTATATAAGTTTCTCTTTATTGTTTTGGTTTTTTTTTGTTTATTTATAAAGCATGATGCCCAGACATTGGGTTATTGTTAGTGTAATGGCCATTTTAATTAGAAAAGAAATGTCAATTTGAATGCCATATTCATATAACAAAGTAATCCAGATTTGGTAACAACCAAAAAATAATTAACATGCTGTTAGCGTTTTGTTGAAAATTGCTATTTAAAAGAGTGGGTATTTACAAAAATATCTTAAAATCACATTACACACTAATTGTTAAACATGAGCATCGTCAAGCCCTAAAGCATTTCATTTCAAATGAATTTAAAAATTGTAAATTTAACTGAAATAGAAAACTGTTTAAAATAGAATGGACAAGCTGCTTTGCAAAAATCTACAACATCAGCAGCAAAATACATTTTTTGCGCAGAAAACAAACTTCCTTAAGCGAAATGTTTAACTTTTTACGTTATTGTCAAAATTTTTCCGTTACAGGGTTTATGCTCTGGCTAACAAGAAGGCGGAGCTGGAGTTTGAACAGCGCTCGATGGCCAGTTTGCTCTCCAAGTTTCGGATTGACTACTCGGATCTGACGTTGATTCCTGACATCACAAAGAAGCCACTGGAGTCTTCTACGCAATTTTTCAACGAGCTCATCAAGGACTTTGTGGTCACTGAAAAGGATGGCGAGAACGGCAACAGCAGCAGGGCGACCCTCAATGAGGATGATGGTGAGTACAAGCATAACTATTAATTTAAGCACCAATCTCTCCCAAAAAAATCTAGTTCGTGTTCTAGTTCTGAACTATTTAGAAAATATGTAGGTATATGAGTTAAAGTTTATTGTTATGCAGAGGGAATTATAATTAATTATATACATACATTTATAATTCAGTGTAAAGTTTGCAACGCAGTAAAGGAGATACCTCAGACTGAAGCTAGCTTCCGTTCTTGTTTGCCAATATTTATAATTAAATTGTTGCATACTTTGTTTTCAGCACTCATAACGGACGACGACCTGCTGGCGGTGCAGGACAAGACGAACCGGTACCTCCGCCTGCGCGAGTACCTGCGGGAGCAGTCGACCAAGTCAGACTTGGTGGTGATGACCCTGCCGATGCCCCGCAAGAACATCGTCTCGGCGCCACTGTACATGGCCTGGCTGGAGAGCCTCAGTAGGGACATGCCGCCGTTCCTCTTCGTGCGCGGCAACCAGACGAGCGTTCTGACCTTCTACTCGTAGGAGCGCAGGAGTGGAGAAGCCACAGAAGCCGCAGGCCAGATCAGATCTATTGTATTCTACTTACACCTACCTACCGACACTCAAACTCACCGTTATTGTTTAGGCGAACGAGTATTTTATCTCTTAGAAGTACCACCCATGTACATAAATTTAGGGACACCCACGGAACGCACAGAGGCACTGGCACCAGCGGACGAATCGTGGGACGGGAGCTATCTGATGGCCCACTGAGCTGTTTCATATTATTTAACGAGCGGGCTGCCCTCCCCGGTTCGCCTCCGCGTCGTCAATATAAACATTTGTCCTAGCTATCGAGTTAAATCGTATTTAAATACAGTGCAAATAATTTTTAAATGGCTTTTTCATTTCCACTTACACGATGTTTTTGGGGATTACAAATTTTAAATGGGCGAAAAACCGCATTGTGCATCGCATTTCATTTAATGCTTGCAGAATTCCCTAAAAATAGTTTCCACACATGAATGTAATATTATTAAACGAAAGCGGTTTTCTGGTTCATCATCATGCGTGGTCAATATAAACTTTTGTCTTAGTTGTGGAGCTTAAATCGTATGAAATACACGTTGTTTTGAGGGTTTTTAAAAACAGGTGTTTAATGTTTACTGCGTTTACTGAAATGCTTTTAAATGATTCAACGTGGCTCAGATAAATCCTTTACAAAAATATTGCAATTTTCTGTCACTTCTGTTTATTAAGTCCAAAGCCTTCGGCACACAACCTAAATTGGAAGCAACACATATTATATTATATTTAGTTATTTTGAAAAGGGCTTTTCGAGTGCAATTCTGTGTCGTAAATAAAAATTTTTCCCAGCTATTGCGCTAAAGTCAGACAGAGCAAATATTTGTGTTTAAAATTTTATTTTGTGGTTAAAATAAATGCTGCAAATAGTCAACAGGAACTAATTCTACGATTTTGAGTGATTTTCAGAGAATAAATGTGAGTGTTTGAATATAAAATCGACTAAAGGGCTTAGAAAACATTTACACAAATTTAAGTGCATGACCTTTCAGCAACAATATTGCTTACGATTTGGACAGCTTCTCATTGCTTCGTTCTACATCAAATATTTGTCAAATGTCTTCGGTGCTGTCACTTTGGGTGTCTGTCTACTATAATTTAACACTGAGTTGGGTTCGTCCTTCAGCTTGAAATTGGTTGCAACATGTTCGAGTTGGATGGAGTTCAAACCCATGAGCAACGCGTGGGTTAAAGGTTAGTATGTGCTTCTAGGGAAAAACTAAGTTAAATCAAAGTAAGAGGATGTGCATAACTAACCATTGATTTTAGTTCATTAAAACCTATGTTAAAAACGATTTAAAAGGACTCTTTGTGAACTTTCAGTGGACAAGCATTAAATTAACTTCCAACGGCACAAGGAATGCAACAAATTCCTTTATAAGCGTTGCCTTGCTACAAATTGAATGCGTCTTTGTGCATATGTATTGCATATGAATAAAAGTATTCTGGTTAGAAAATTAATTAGAAAATGACAATATCAAACAAGATGCTTCTTCAAAAAGATATCCGAAGGGTATTTGCGGAATCGGTCACTTGCAGTTATCAGAAAACAAAAACCAGCCCACCTTTCGATGTCATGGAAACGCTGAAAGGACATTTTGCTGACTGGTGTTTCCTTTGTTTACAAGTTATTTATATGTGCGGAGGTAATAACATATAACTTTATTTATTGTTTGGTTCATGGTCCCGCCATTAAACTATAATGAGTCTTTTCATTAAAGGCAAATATGACTTCCACTTCCATTATTAATGATTGCCTTCCTAGTGGACACTCGAGACTTCCTTCACTTCCTTGATCCTTGGAGTACGTGCTCTAGCCTTTAAGCTCCTTTATTTTGGGGTTTTGTTTAGCCAAGTTTTATTGTCGTACGGTTACTGTACGCAATTTATTTTTACCCAGCACTACAATGTTTATTTCTGGTGAAATATTGGGGCTTAACTTTATGTCTTCTTCGCTCGGGATGAAATGGGTACGACATTTGCTCGTTTTAAAATGCAAGTTGCACGGGAGCTTAGTAAATTGTTATAAACTGACATAAAACGTCGCAATTGCGGCATTAATATTAATGCCCTTGGTGGGTTTAATACTGCGGAAATCGAGGAGTAAGGCTTTTGATCCCTTCCCATTTAAAAGTACCTGGAGGAATTTTTATGACAATTTCGCGGTTATCCTGGAAGTCAGAGTGGGGCTCAACTTAAATTGCATTCTGTGGCAATCCATCGGTATTTCAATATATACGGCCGTAAATTACTCGGCTTTAGCCCCCGATTTTAAACGTTCCGTTGCGACCCCCAACTGATTTTTGGAAAAGAAAACCACAAAGCGAAGGTCACGGCCCAGAAGGCAACAAACTTGTTGATTTCTTGCTGTGTTTTCCTTCTCCTCGGAGCGTGAAAACATAAATAAATATTTAACGAGTAAGCCATTGTCATTCGCACGACACCACAAAGGAGCCCGCAGATCGAAGAATCGGAATCGCGTCTATTCGGGTCTCAAGCGGCCAACAAACTCTTCGAACCACACGTGGCCACTTTCGAGAACTTTGCACTTTGTCTTCAAAAGTAAACACCCCGTGGACCCTTCGATTGGGATGGTTGGCAACTTTTACATATGTATCTTTTTCACCAGCTCGTGGCTAACTAGTGACTTGAATAATAACTTTCTCGGACCATTTATCTTTCTTTTTGTTTGTGGCTCCTCTTGAACGAATTATTTGGTTTGGAGAATATACAAAAAGCAACACATTTCTAAATCACTTTTCGCGCCCAGCTTGCCACATTTTTTATTTGATAAAGAAAAGCACACATCAGTTTTTCTTTGTTTACTAACAATGTTTTTATTTTCTGCTAGCAAGTTTGAGTTGCCTTTCAGTTATATTATATAGTTATTTCCGCCTGTCTCGCCATGAATATTGTAAAGCTAACATTTATTTGCATGGAAAGTGCATGCATAAAGATACAACAAAAATTTGTATAAACCTCTTTTTCACCGCTTTTCTTAGAGTTTTTTTCGACAATATGAAAACCATTTTTACTTCGCAAGAAATTTGTAGTGTTCCGCAATTTTAACTATTTACTTCTTGACAAAAGACAACTTTCCATTATGTTGCCGTGCAGAAATCGGAAAGAATTATTCAAACTTTGCTGGCGCTTCTTGCCTGATAGATGGATAATTTAATTTGTTTGTTTTTGCTTCAGCTTTGACTGCATCTTTTGCTGCAGGCGACTTAAAACTACTTAAAAACTGGAAAAAGCCAAAGCCAACGATAGTTGGCTCGCTAACTGAAAAACCCTTCTGGCTGTTTACGGTTTTGTTTTCAGCAAGAAAAGATATTTAATGGGAAAACATGCAATACATTATGCCATGTGAGCTGCAACCCATAGGAAAAAATATTTTAGCTGGTAAATTGGAAATGGAGCAAATATCATATTTACACAAAAGTGAGTGTTGTATTTTAAATAAATTGCTATTTTTTGTAGCTTAGTAAAATGTTATAAATAACTCAAAGTAGAGTTAACTCAAATGTAACTTAAAACTTTGATGAACAAAAAACCTTATAAATTTTAATTGATATATCAAATGCAAATTTCAGTTAAATTAAACCCAAAAGAAAGGTAACTGAAGTTTGACTTGAAACTTTGTTGAAGAAACACCTTATAAATTGAGGAAATTAACACATTAAATTGGGTTCTCTCTTTCTCTGTAACTAATTTAAGGTAAGCCTTTACCCTTTATTAAATTAAAGCGTGTGTTTGCCGCGTCGTGTGCGTTGGTTAAATCAATTAGACGTTTTGACAGAACAACAAATGAAGTCGTGCGTCGCCAAGCGGTTATGGTTTCGGCTGTCGGCATTCAGGATAAAGGATACAGGGTAAAGGACCCGGGATGAGTCGACTCATCTCCTTGCCAGCCGATTAAGCACTTTACGTGCTGCAGTTAACGCTGGTGGCTGACGTGACGGATGCTGTCCCACAGAAAAACATACGCTGTCGTACATCAAAACTAAAGTTGAGTTAAGTCGGGCGGATCGGCGGGGGACTAATGTCACGAGGAGTAAAACTTTGTTATTTGATTGCCCGGGCCTGTCAACACATTGCGGCCCCCTAATAAGTTGCCTTGTGGCCCCGAGTGTGGCGATGCTCCTTCGTCGGGTTACACATCTGCCAGGATGCCGAGTGATGGAGATAGCTCACGCGAAAGGGAAACTAGCAGGAAGTGGAGCTTGCAGGACCTCCGCGCCCCGAACTCTTCCGCAATTCAATCCCAACAAATTTATACAATTTTCCCTTTGCGCGAATCTAATGCTGATTGTGACAGCAGAGGAGAGTTTCCATGAAAACATACTTGTAGGTCCTGCAACCCGTGTTTGTAGGGAGAACGGAGGGATTCATGGAGAAAAATACTTGGAAGAAGGAAATTTTATTCCATTTTCAAATATTTTTAACGCTGCTTTTGAGGTTGTGAAGCGGTAAAGCAGTTTCTGGACGACAAAAAAGTTTGCGTTGAGGATTTTTTTTTGGTTAAGAACCACGTTTCAAGTGAAAAGTTGGTTGAAGGTTTTTCAACAGGGACTCTTCAACTAGCTGGCCATGTTCTCTTATAATTTTTTACAAGGTCTTTAACAACTTCAAACACTAGTTTATTTGCTTTTAGTTTGGCTTTAATTTTATAGGTATTATAAATAAGGTAAGGCAAATAATTATAAAATACTGCAGTAAGAATCTAGAACAAGCTTTTTATTCAAGTTGGTTTTTCATCCCTTTTTCTGCAAATAATTATAAAAAATACTGCAGTAAGAATATGGAACAAGCTTTTTAATTAAGTTCGTTTTTCAGCCCTTTTTCTGCTCGGAAAGACTTTATTCGCAGTGTTTTCGGATGTCTGCAGTTCCTTGTGGGTGTTTATTGTGTTCCGCTGTGTAATGTAAAACGGCGTTGACTGGTTGCTGGTTTCAGTGCGATGTGGCTGTCACTGTCTTTTTATGAGATTCACGCTTTGGAAACAGCAGTGCTCCCCTTCTCGGAGGACGCTCCATAAATCTCATCACAAATTTCGTTGGCCCTCAAATTGAATGTGTGTGGTGCAGATGAACATTCTGAGGGTGGGGCATTTGTTATTTGTTATTCGGTGCTCCTTCACTTTGTACTTTCGCAACAGAATGTCTTTCATTACTTTCAAATGAAAAAGTTAGTCCTCGTCGGTTATTCGCATGCAGCTGATTCATTGATTATCGGCGGCAAATTACACGTTTGCCAAAATATTCCACTGGCAAATTTCCTAGAATCGAATTTTAGGCTTATAGCCGTTTTTC